CGAGGTCAATAAGCAGCCGAAGCCGCTCGGGACATATGCAATGTGTACGAAGAAGGTGTCTTAGGTGTGTCTCTAGGTGGCCCCAGGAGAGACAATGAAGCCGAGAGTCAAGAAAGACCTCCGCTCAAAAAAGGGTCATGATTTGCGTTTGGTGAGACTGGAAAGGCATGGTGCACTAGGAAATGCTCGAACGAAACGCTACTGTCAACAAGAAGGTCTACATTGCCCAGCTAAACCGTGTTAGTGAGGCTATTCGGCTGAGAAGACCCGATAGACAAGGTCAGGTCATCTTACTCCACGACAACGCCAGGCCCCATAATGCCTAAGTCGCCAAAACAGCACTCCAAAAGCTTGAATGAGTGTTTCTTCAGCATCCACCGTGCTCTCCGGATCTTGCACCAACCGACTACCACCTTTCCACTCTCTGTCAAACCAAATGAGGAGCGTTACCTTCGATGGCGAAGAGGTCCTTAAAACTGGCTCAACAACTTCTTCGACCCCAGACCGGCCGATTTTTGGCGAAACGGCATCAACAAGTTGGTCGAGAGATTGGAAGAGGTCGCAAACAATAATAGGAGGATACATCATTGATTGATTTATTATTATAATTACTGTTTTTTGTTAAAATAAATCTTTGTGGAAAAACTCTACGAACTTATGTTACAACCCAATACATACCTGTGGATGACATACACTCCAATAGAAATCAAGTTACGCTAAATTTTGAATCGGGCCGATATTGTGGGTAGAAAGTTAGTCTACTGTACTTACCACTCTTTCCTCCACTTATGCTCATGCTAATGATCAGCAGACGTCGCTATCAAAGCAGTAATCATCAATGCAGCTAACACTCCCTCTTATTTGATGAGATCGCTATATTATTCAATACTCATTAACGTGTTTGAAAACGGTATTCGAAAACTGGAATCTATTTTCTATCGCTATTTCATCCTGTAACGAAATTTCCAGCCTTAAGAAGCTTTTTTGATTGTTCCGTATCTTGATGCTTGCTTTCCAAACATTTCAGTTACTGGCAAATGGTTGTGAAAAAATCACCACAGAAGTCCTATAGCCGAGCTTTACGAAAAGGATGAGTATCTCAGCAAATTCTCAACCGTAAGGCATTCATGCTCGAGGGAGGACGGAGGCATGCTGTCTATCAGATTCTAACTGACGGCAAATATGGAAAACCGTCAGCTGAGCAGCTTTGCTCATGCAGAATCACAAAAACCACTGCTTTGCTAATATTATGCACGACCAATCGACGCGGCATTCCTCAGCTTCTTTTTAACCAACTGGAGCTTGTGGGCATTGGCTGATAGATTTGGTTCCAGGAATAGGAAGTTTCCCACTGATATTGGACCTGGGACCTAGAGCGTGTTGGTTGGCCTTTGTTAGACTGTCTGGCATTGAAACCACTTAAAATTCGCACTCAGGAGGGGCGAGCGAAGGGATGGCCAATCCCTTACATGAATTCCAACTACAATGATTACATCTTGTGGACTGTTTAATCTGTTGCCAAGGTATGAACAAATCACCTTGTCACTGTTTCTACGAGAAGAACTTTGGCACGGAAGCAAAAGCAGGCCGGCGGAAGAGGAACTTGGCGGATGGGTTGGTTACGGAATATACCCACGTGCTACCACGCCTTCGCGAAGTAGCAATCCCACTAGGATCGGCGGTACAAGTCGTCCTAGTCAATATCAGTACAATTCAGGTCCTGGTCACGACCATGACCAGTTAGGCACTTGCTTCGGCCCTGGTGCAATATGGAGCCAATCTGGAGGTGGCAGCATAAAATGCAGAAACGTCAAAACCCGGGGATTCGAATCATCAGCCCAACCTAGCCGTCCCAACTCGAAGTCCACATCGCTACCGTCCGCACCATCCGTCGCTGCTGGCGGCTCGACGGTGGAGAGCGCATATGAAACCTCCCGTCACTCTCAGACATGTTTCAACATGTGGCCCCCTTTTTTGATCCCCGTTCA